GACTTCATTGTATACACGATCCAGGAAAGGCCATCGGCAAGAAGCACTGTTCTTCCAAGTAGGTCAGTGCAATGAACTTTAGAGTTGTTGGACTAGAGAGGCCACAGAGATGTGAACCATTTTCTTTTCTTTTCTTTTTTTTTTTTTTTTTTTTTGTCCATTTTGAGACCGGCCGCACCACGCTCAGCCAGTGAGTGCTGTGAGTGCACCGGTCATCCCTATGTAGGATCTGAACCCGTGGCGGGAGCGCTGCAGTGCTCCCAGCGCCGCACTCTCCCGAGTGCGCCATGGCCCGGCCCTGAACCAATTTCTAAACTGGGTGAATATTAAGGTAGAACAGGTATGTATGGTAGAACACAGGGCTTTGGAGTCTGCAGAATAGTTGCATGACTTTTTGGGGAAGATATTTCTCTTCTTTGAGCTTCATTAGAAAATGTGAGTGGCAAACCAACATCAACTCTTCTAAGGATTAAATGAGTGCCTGAAATATAATGATAGTCAATAAATTTTTGTTCTTTCTCCTCCCTTCATCACCCTTAGTAAATTGATCTAAATCTGAGGGCTTTTTGTTTCTGAGAAGGATGCACACAAATGATCTCTGCAGATGCTGGCTGAGCGGAAAGGGACGCTGTCCCCCAAATAGTCCTAGAGTCATTCCATTTGGCCCTCCAAAAGCTGTAATGGAAAGAACAATAACACTGTTGTTAAGCTTCTTATGATGTGCTCTGGACCGCTCACAGTAACTTACCTGTTAACTCCTGGCTTAAACAGAGGTCATGATTTTGCAGTTTTATAATCACTTTAACAAGATGGGTTTTGTTTATGTTTGGTATGGACTGATGCCTTAAATGTAAATTTTTGCAAAATTCACTGTAATGCATTTATTTGAGATCTTTATACTTATGTCTTCAATACATGCTGGATTTGGTATCAAAACATTTAACACACAGGGTTCACTTCTCATATATTTTATACAATCTTTGCACGTTTTATGACTACAACTTATCTCATGCCAGAATGAGAACATACAAATGCCTCAAAAAAAATCTGTTTACTTTCAAATTCTAAATTTTAAACCATACTCATGAAATGGAAATTCTAGTTTATTAATTAAAGTAACAAATAGAATGTTGGACATTCCAGAATTTAAATTCCAGTTGACACTTTTGTTTTTATAGTCCTCAGGTCTTTTAGGCTTTATTTCATCCTATCATCTCAGTTTCCAACTATGAACATTATGTACCAGTCTTCACATAGCAAATACATTAACTACAGACTAGTAAAGTAAATCAGTACAAGTTGGTGGGGGGAGTGTGGAAATGGAAGAAGTCAACGACTGAGGGCACTACTCTCCCCATGAGAAATCGGGGAGGATACTAGGAAACGTGCCTCACTTATGCACTTAGAGCTATCTACTGCCTGTGGCCTAGAAAAGCACATAAAATCTCGTGGTTTTGTCTGCTGTTTCTATATCTTACATTGTTCTCTGTTCTCAAAAAGTAACCCTGCCATTCCTCTTCCTCACCAGATTATTTTCAGGATTAGCTCCTTATATAAAAGATAATTTGTACAAATCTCCTATAATAATTCTTTTCTATTTTATTTCAAGGGTTATTTTAATAAAACACTCTCCAATTATTTTGTCTTATTCTTTCATGCAAGAAATGCCCTAAAAATTGCAATCCATCTAACGAGAAAGCACTTCTAAGAAGCATGCATAGTTGAGCATTTTATGTAACAACAAGAAAGGCCTGTGTGATATTTTGCAATGTAAAAATGCAATGTTGCAGCAGGCTTCATTAGTCAAGCCTTTTGAAAATGTGGCTGGTCCCAGGTCTATAGCCTTAAAGGCCCTGCCATCTAACTGTGGGAGCTGACCAGCATGGTAAGAGGTCAGCACTGTGACCAAATTCTGCAGCCTCCAGCCTGTGCCCACGTGGACCATAGTCAAAATGTTCTTTGGATAACGACATTTTAAAGTTCCGTTTCCCACCCAACTCTTCTCCCAATTCACTGTGTTTCTTTAATAATTTTTAGTTTTATCCATTATCTATCCAATAATAACCCAAGTACATTTTCAGAGTAATTGAAACACCCACACAAACACATGAAAACAACCAAATACAACACAGAGCTACCATTGAACTACTTTCCAACACGGGATATATGTATAAATAGATGGAGCCAAAGTAGAGAAAAACACCAGGTGCTGGGCCCTTCCTGGACCTGCAAGGTGCCAAGGTCACCCATAGATTTGGAGTCAACAGATGGGACATCCCACTTCACTTTTCTGAATCACAGATGCCTCATCTTTAGAGGAGGTGCATGCAAGTTCCTCTCATAAGGATATTTTGAGCATCAAATGAGATGAAGATCACAGTGCACAGGCATTTAGTAAATATTTGTTGAATTAATAAAATCATCTGATTATGGTGTGGTAATAGTTTAGAAAACTCAGAGTCAGGACTCTGTACCCTTTCTTTGGAAGGGCTCTTAATGGGAACAAAATTAGTTCGAATTAGTCTCTTTCTTGCGTAGTTAATGTGGGAAGGATGAAATGTGGCATAAAAATTTTTTCAACTAAAAATATTTCCTCCCTTCATAACTTCCTCCTTCTCTCTCAAGGTACTTTCATAAATGGAGCCCAGTTGTTGGTCTGGAATGAACACTAGCGTGAAGGAAGAGAAGAAAAAAGTTTTAGGTGTTTTGTTTTTCCTTCCCCAATTCAGTTACTTAGATCTCCTGAAACATAAACATAATTCAGAGCATTTACTTAGATGTTTTTACTTTCTTATTTTCCTCGTGTGTGTGTGTGTGTGTGTGTGTTTAGTCAATTTGCTAATGAAGATACTGAAAGCCAGAAATTCCTGACAAATGGATTTTTGGGGAAAAAGAAGCTGGCAGATTACGACGATGAGCATGTAAGTGAATCTACGCTTTCAGGCAGTAAACAGGACGGAGGGTGTGTGACCTACCTGGGTCTCTGTGAGAAAACAATGTGACTGAAATTTTCCAACCCTTGATCAGCACATTCTCTGTTTATTCAGGCCCTTACTGGAATAAGGGCTTGTTTTTCCTGTCCACCATATGGCTGCATAAATCATTTATGAAATTTATTTGTTTTTTGGAGAAATCATTCAAACCCAAATGTAATCTGCAATCATACATATTTTTCCTTCTTTATGTTCCTCCACCTGTACTTTTTATTTTTACTGAGACCTCTCCTGAAACCAAGCACTGCATTCCATTGAAAATTACATGCTTTTATAGGAGCTGAGCAACAGATTTTACTCACTGTGATTTTATCTTAGTCTTTGATTTTGGACTGTCATCTCCTCCAATAAAGATGTAAGAATAAGAATAACCCCCCCAAAAAGGTCTGTCCTTTGGCAAATACTTGCTTATAACGCATGCCTTTTTCTCCAAGCATCCTGGAGCCACGTCCTTTGGAATGTCCTCATTCAACCTGAGTAATGCAATCATGGGCAGTGGAGTCCTGGGCTTGTCCTACGCCATGGCCAACACGGGAATCATACTTTTTATGTAAGTGAATGTGCACGTCTGTACTTGGTGGTGAAGTCCGTGCATACCTGGTGCTCTTTCAATTAACAATCTGAAGTTTGATCTTTGTGAACATGAAGAATCTGAGAAAGTATTAGCAAATTCCTCTTGCTTTTAGATAAAAAGGCAACCTGAGGGGCCGGCCCGTGGCTCACTAAGGAGAGTGTGGTGCTGATAACACCAAGGCCCCGGGTTCGGATCCCATATAGGGATGGCCGGTTCGCTCACTGGCTGAGCGTGGTGCTGACGACACCAAGCCAAGGGTTTAAGATCCCCTTACCGGTCATCTTTAAAAAAAAAAAAAAAAGAAAGAAAGAAAGAAAGCAGCCTGAGGAATAATCAGAGCAGTCTAATCATGGTTCTTACTCACCCAATGATCCCTAACCAAATGGCAGAAAGTTTCTGTGCTTAACTACCCAAAGTGCTGGAGTAGCCCTGCCAGTCCATAGGAATCATTTTCAAAGTATTTCACTGTTCAGTAGATGTTTAAAATAATTTGGTGTTTAGTGGTCAAAAAAAAAAAAACTTTCCCAGAAGCAAATCTGATTTTATCACACTCTTAGGGGGAAAATAAAACCCCGTCTTAAACCAGGCCTAAGAGCCCTGCATGCCTTGGTCCCATCCAGTGCCCTACTCCCCATGCCCTGTGCACCAGATACACTGGGCACACTGGCCTCTCTATCCCATGAGGTGCCACGTTCCCTCTCACCACTGTGCCTTTGCAAATGGTCTTGGACCCCTCTTCCTCTTCTTCTTCGTCTGGTTAACTCCTCATTTCTCAGCTCAGCCTCACCTTAGTGCTACCTTCCATGAGGTGCCACGTTCCCTCTCACCACTGTGCCTTTGCAAATGGTCTTGGACCCCTCTTCTTCTTCTTCGTCTGGTTAACTCCTCATTTCTCAGCTCAGCCTCACCTTAGTGCTACCTTCCCTGACCTCCACGATTGGGGCAAATTACCACAGTTTTAATATTTTAGTGTATTCGTCTGATCCATTTGGTTTATGTCAATCTCCCTCGCTATACTACAAACTCCAGAGAGTTGAGCCAATGTCTGTTTTTACTCACTACATGTCTCTACCCCCAAGACCTAGCAAGTGCCTGGCACAGGGAATATTTGCTAAGTGACCAAAGCTTATTCCTAAACCTATGCACTTGCACCAAACTTAGTCAAATGCTGCCTAAGGGTAGCAGCGTCACATAGCTGACCTGTAGGATGGATACCACATTGTCTGTGACAGACAACCACAGACGTTTGTGTACATTACGTACAGCCTGGTATTTTCCAAGACATAGTTGGCAACAGTGGAATTCTTAACAAGAACGAAGTCTAATGTTAGGCATCAATGTGAATGCAGATCCTAATCCCAAATGCAAGGCTAGAGAGTTAAATAACTGTCTAAGAATGCAACATTTATATTACACATATGTGCTATTTATGTTCTGAACATCATGTATGATTAGATAATTACACAGCTATTTGAGGGCCAAGGGTCAGGACTATAAATATTTATATTATGTTAGTACTTTGATTGAACTGTTTTACATATAATATTCTTAAGCTGAATGGATTTTTATATCAACTTTACTTTTATAAGCCATGTTTGAAATAAATGGTTTTTTTTATTATTATCTGAATTTTAACAGCCAGAGATATACTTACATATTTGCCTGCTTTTGTAATGTGTATTACCTCTAAGACAAAAAGACTGCCTTCTTTTATTAATTATAGATATCATTAAAATTAATTAGTAAGTTATCATAGATCACCAAAGAATAAAGAATAGAAATAAGAAACACTTTCCTCAGCCCTAGGCCATAGATCATTTTCATGCGAAGAGAATATTCTACTTTTAAAATAAGAGCCTCATTTCAGGCCAATAAATATTTAGCAGATTAATTTGGCCAGAGCAATTAAATAGCTAAACATCCTTGGGCACGTTTTGTGTGTCTAAGTGGCACAAATAGGATCCAGCTATATCGCTTAATTCACGGCAAGTGATATTATTTCATTGGTTTTACTTTTTGTATTTTCTGCCAAAGCAAGTACATGTTAAGAATAGAGGGAATGCTCATAATCTTTGCAGGAAACCAAATTATGTAATCTGAATTACGTAATTCTTTAAAAATGAGTAAGTTCATAAGGTACGTGGAAAAATATATGAATAATTCATTGGTTAGACAGTTCTGGCAGACATATTTTATGGGAAATAAGAGTACAATATAGCTAGAGTAGTTATAAAATTTATAATTCATGGTCAAAATGTACATTTGCAACATTGATTTCATGAAGAATTACCAAAGGGTTAGATCAACTGTGGGGAAAATGTTTAGTGTGTTCTTATAAAATTTGTAAAATAAACAAAGAATAGATTTTTTTTTTTTAAATTTCAGGGAAAGGTTAGTATTGTTTCTTCATTTATTAGTGGATGCTGCCATCTGTACTCATTTTTGTGCTCCAATTCTTGCTTTTGGAGAAAAGCTAATCAGTATAATTAGTATATATGCATGTGGACAGGTAGGGGGTCCTGACACCAGAAATGATTCTTTCTGAATACAAAATGGAAATCTTCCTGCCCCCATATTTACCTTTCTCTTCTTGCTTTATTATACATGCAATTGCCTGATCCTCTGGCTAACAAAGCACCTTGCCATCTAATATACAGGATCAGTAGTAACGGAGCACAGACTCTGCATGCTTTGGCTTTTAGATTCCTACATATTAGATTAAGGTTTAGTCAGGCTATTGAATAGCCCTTTAATTGTAAATGTTGATGTGAATATCATGCAAATATGGTGAACGTATACCCGTATGCTGAGTAAATACAGGTAGTATCTGCTCATTTTGCTATATATTTTAGCATCTAAATTATGAACAAGGTTTCACAACTGGGTAACAACAACAAAAAATATGTTAGGAACTTCAGGTAGTAGGTTCGGGCATGTAAAATATAACAAATTCTAATTTGGTGACATTAAAGGGTGTGTGCAGAGTTCTGAAAAGAATTTCTCAGCTTCCCAAATATCCACATACTTTTGAAAAGTTGATGATTGAAAAGACCAGTGTGGTCATTTATTGTAACGTTATGTGTTATTTATTACAGAAAGTTTATTTCCTATTCTCTGTTCCCTTTACAGAATCATGCTGCTTGCCGTGGCAATATTATCACTCTATTCAGTTCACCTTTTATTAAAGACAGCCAAGGAAGGAGGTATGCTACCCCTTAAGTCTAAGACATTCTATTTTGATTCTCATAAAAGAGTATTTCAGTCTATTACCTTAGGATGATTTTAGTCAATTTCACATTTCATCTTCTTCTGACCCCACTGACATGGTGTTTCAATGTTTCTAGTTATTTCAGCAAGCGAATGGCAGAGGGAAAGTCAACTGATTCAGGTTCAAGCTAAACAGAGAAAAAGAGATTTGGGGTAAATGATAGAAACAACAATTTTGACTTGCTACATGCAGCTAAAATGAATGAAGCCATTGCTTCATGTTTGGAGAACATTTTCATATGTATAAAGCTTATTGGTTATTGAGGTTTCATCTTTTGGGTTTATAATTTCTATATGATGTTTATTTACATGTCCAAGACTCCAGCGTAGAATTATATTATAGAAATATTTTAGTCATTAAAACAATCGTTTTAACAAGATTATTTTGTCTTTGATTTCAGGGTCCTTAATTTATGAAAAATTAGGGGAAAAGGCATTTGGATGGCCTGGAAAAATTGGAGCTTTTATTTCCATTACAATGCAGAACATTGGAGGTAAGGGGATAGAGCTTTCAATGGAAACTTAAACTTTCTATAGAATGTTCAATAAATAAGAAAACTCTTATGTCAATGAATAAGTTCTTTAAATGCAGAAAAGTAGCTGCTATTAAATTTCAAAAATAAAGTTTCTTAAATAGATTTGCTGTTGCTGTTTAATTTAAAATAGCAATACCTAAGAACAAAATAATATATAAAATCCCACCAATTGAATTCTAGAATTAAAATATAGAATAAAACCTTTCTTGATTTCTAATGTTATTATAGCATTAATTATTACTTTAAAAAATTAAGCATTAGTGCTTATTTTTGTCATTGACAGAGCATTTGATGTTTCATATGTATGATTGAGTTCATTTCTTAAAATTGAAAAGTGTCTGGGAGTGCATAGGCAAATGCTGTGGTCCTTGAGAAAATTGGTTCATCTTATAATACTGCTTTGCAACTTGTTTCTTTATTTAACAATATACCTTGAGTGTATTTGCATGTTGTCTTTTTAAATAGCTTTTGAGTTTCCCATTATACAAATGTACCATAATTGGTTTATTAAATCCTTACTAATGAACAGTTGGATTGTTTCCTATTTTTCATTATTACAAACAATGGTGTAATAAATAAACTTGCATAGAGATCTCACAAGAAAGCAACCCCTTTTGATAAATAAACTCACTGGAGTTACCTAGGATTTCTGGAATGCAGCAATTCCTATTAATAATCTTTATCCAAGTGTACCTGCTCCTGATAATGGATAGTTGGTAAGCGGATAAATAAAATTCAGCTATATCTTAAGAATTTGTGTTTATTTCTTTTAATATTTTCATGTTTTAAGACTGCAGTTTGGGTAGAATTTGGCAGGAACACCAGGATTGTTACATTCATTTTACTGGGTTTTAGCCATGAGTCTATGAATTCCCTGAGTCCCTCCAAATGGACTACTTTGCATTTGGTTCAAATTTTCAGCCTCATGAAGGTATTACGCATTTCATAGGATCACTTCATATTTGATCTAATTTACTTGTTTTGACAACTGAAATAACTGGACATAAACATATTCGTCCCTGAACTCAACAAGCTGACTGGCAGCAGCAGCATCTGTTGTTCAAGTGCAGCCACGATGAGGCTTCTAAACAATGGAAAAAAACTGTAAAGTGGTCTCTCAGTCAAGCCACACACAAGAAGTGTGGCTTTAACGGAGTGAGATGAAATTTCATAATACCACCCCCAAAATTGCTCTTACTTTGGTTACTCTATATGATTAGTGGATATTTGGCATAAAGGAAATCATTTATATTTCTATATTTAACAACTTCACATATAGAACATTTAATATTCTCAATCTCCTAAAAATTTAACATTTACCACAGGTGTTTTAACATTAGCAGAATAATGTTGACATTACCCAGACAAGTCTGAATCATTCTGAATTTTCGAAGACCAAACACATTAATAGTGGTGACATCACTGAAAGTCAGCAATTAATAGCTCTCAAATTGAATGGTACCTCTCTGAGCCAGTTAATCAGAAATATCTCCTCTGTTTACGCTCTGTAAGATTTAGCGTTAGCCAAGGTCTTTGTAAAGATTAACCACATAATGTGTACAGAAGACACATGGGGTATTGTAAAGATCATTTCACTTGATAATAGAGGAAAAGCACTGGCCCAGAGGCAAGGGACTCATATTTTAGATGTGGTCGGACCTTTTCAAGCTGTGTGATCTTGGACACATCATTTAACTTCCCCAAATCTTTATTTCCTCAGCTACAGAATGAACATGACAACACATATCTTGTCATCTCATTGGGTTTTTCAGATGATCAAATGAAATAATATACAGAACGAACAATGTTGGGAATTATGATCATTATTACTTCCATTTAAAGTTAAGAAAATATTTTTAAACTATTAATAGTTTAATTTACAACTCAGATATCTGTTTAAATACCTGTTAGCAAAAATTCACCAGAAAGAAGTAGCACACACTTAGTTTCCATGTAAAATTTGTCAGTTTTATATGATTATCTGTTAAATAACGAATCAGTGTTATACTTCACTGAATGGATGAACTCGGGAAAGGGGTGTTGCACGAATCCCTACAATTGTAGACAAAATTGTAATGTAATGCATATGTATACAGATTCATTTTTCCAGAGAGTGGATTTATAGATTTCACCAGATTTTCAAAACAGTACATGATCACTCATGTATCATTTACTTAGATGCTCACCAAGTTTTGCCACTTTGTATAATTTTTTATTTAGCCAAAGGAAGACTAGGATTGAGAGGGAGGAAAATACTTCATTGACAAAGATGGGGGAATGCTATCATCTCTCGTATTCTTTTATCAATCTGGGAAGATTCCAGTTTCGACAATAAGTGGTCTGAGACTTTGTGTGCCCCTCATTGAGAACACAGAGAACTAGACAGGTGCCCACCTGGGGAACTCCAGAGTGACATGAAGTCTGCTCCCCAATGCCCTACTCCCCTGCCTTTCTCTTCTGGCCCATGCCATTTGTTGTCATACCACTGTCCAAGTTACAGACACTAAAATAGGCACACTCAGATGAGCCATAATGATTATAACTAATGAGGGTAAAATTTTGAAACTACAGCTTCACTGAAAACCTTGGAGTTGGACTTAACACAGAATCAGCACTGATACTGTTAGCAAAGGTCTGCGTGCAAGAACTAGAGAACCAATTGTCCTTTTCTGAAAAGAACTCGGAAGCAGTGCAGAATACACGGTGGCTTTTCTTCCTGTTTGGGGGATTAGATGCTCATCTTACCGAGAAGAACGGATGCTCCAAATGTCATGACTTTACAGCTTGCATGTGACTTTAGTGCTATGCACATCACTAAGCTGTCATGTTTTCCATTTTAGCGATGTCAAGCTACCTCTTTATTATTAAATATGAACTACCTGAAGTAATCAGAGCATTCATGGGACTTGAAGAAAATACTGGGTATGTCTTGTGTTCTCTCTGTGCTATCAAGTGACTCATTCTATTTGGTCCTTTCTGATCCTAATATCCTTGTCTGTCTTTCTCTTCTAGAGAATGGTACCTCAATGGCAACTACCTCGTCATATTTGTGTCTGTTGGAGTTATTCTTCCACTTTCTCTTCTTAAAAATTTAGGTGAAGTCATTTTCTACCTGAAAATATTTTTATTTTTATTTCCTATTCTAATAAGTAAGCTTATTGTACGTGCCGTATTCACCTTCCAAAATTTTTCTGCTAACTCCTAGGTTACCTTGGTTATACCAGTGGATTTTCTCTTACTTGCATGGTGTTTTTTGTCAGTGTGGTAAGTGATTTGTTCACATGATCCTTGTAGCTTAATGAGCATGAGATGCTTTGAGTGCGTGAGTTAGTATCCTCACTGCTGTTCAAGCACTTCACTGGCATGAAATAGTTCTTGCATCACAGCTGATTTTCTTGTGTTATAATTTGGAATGAGAAAAGAGTAGTCATGAGTTTAAAAATAGTTGAGTTAGAGTTTCAAGGGCATTGCTAATGGTATGTTCTAGACACACGGGGTGTATATTTGGACAAAAGGAGCACTTCAAGCTGGAACATGACAATAACTGTGTATTTAGAAAGGTGGGGGAAGGGCCGCCCCGGTGGCGCACTGCTACAGTGCGCCGCTTGGGAGCGCGGCGGCGCTCCCGCCGAGGGTTCGGATCCCACATACAGACCGGTTCCCGCTCACTGGCTGAGTGAGGTGCGGGCGCAACACTGAGGGTTGCGATCCCATTGCCGGTCCCGGCCCAGTACGGGCGCGACACTGAGTGTTGCGATCCGTTGCCAGACACGAAAAAAGACAAAAAGGAA